TGGACAAGCTGGCTCATCTCGTCCTGTGGCCCCACCCAGGAACTGACTCTGTGCAAGAAGACAGCTCCACCTCCCTATGACTTCATCCCTGACCAGTCAGCACTCCTGGCTCACTGGCTCCCCCCACCCACCAAGTCATCCTTAAAAACTGTTCTCTAAATGCTGGAGGAGACTGATTTGAGGAATAGTAAAACTCTCATCTCCCGCATAGCCACTTTGCCTGAATTACTCTTTATTGCCATTCTCCTTTCTCGATGAATTGGCTCTGCCTAGGCAGTGGGCAAGGTGAACCCCTTGGGCAGTTACAATAGTGTGTCTGCCTGTTTTGTTTTGTTTTGAGATAGGGTCTCATTCTGTCGGCCAGGCTGGAGTACAGGGGTGTAATCATGGCTCACTGTAGCCTTGACCTCCCAGGCTCAGGTGATCCTCCCATCTGAGCCTCCCAAGTATCTGGAATTATAGGCACATGCCACCACATCAGGCTAATTTCTGCATTTTTTTTTTTTTTTTTTTTTTTTTGTAGAGATGGAGTTTCTCCATGTTGCCTAGGCTGGTTTTAAACTCCTGGGCTCAAGTGATCCAGCAGCCTTCACCTCCCAAAGTGCTGGGATTAGAGGTGTGAGCCACTGCACCCAGCCTGTGTTTGCTTTTAGAAACAGTTCCTAAACATCTTTTTGGTGACTCATAACCCTAGAGTTATGATCAGTTAAATAAAACAAGAGTTTCCTTAATACTTTTTAAATAAGATAACCTATTGAAACAGTACTAAGCACAAGTTTATATGCTTTTAACTTCTAATTTTATATCATATGGACAGACTGACTGTATTTGAGTCTGTTAACAAAAGTTTTTTCCACCTTGAAAAATTATGCTGTAGATGAATATGTCTCTAAAAACTGTAAGATGGTGTAGTCATACAATTTGCTATTTTGTCACACAATGCTGTATGTGACAGACAATTCACAAGTGTCTACTTCTAGATTCCTCTGTTGAACATTGTAATCAACATGTGTAATTAAAACTACTAGAAATGATGAGGGAGAAAAACGAAACAACTTCCTGTGCCAAGCATAAAGGAAAGTAGGATCTGTTTTTGATAAGAAAGCATATGAGTTATGAAGAATGTGTTTTTGTTGAAGGAAAGGATGAGCAATTTTGTCCTAAAATAGTTTAAAGGTTTTCTCAGGAAGAGAAAAAGAGGACAAAATGCCTAAATGAACATGGAAAGATGGAATCGTTCTCTAAGGAAAAAAAAGAGAGAGAGAAAAATCTTATGTGGTCAAGATACACTAAGTGAATTTTATTATAAGATTTTTTTTTGTAGATAAGCTTTACTATCAATAGTGTAGCAATGCAGTACTGGAGTTTGATTTTCTCTCTCTGCTAAAAGGTCAAAGTTTTCTTGAATTATTGGTCTGTTCTTTTTGTTTGTTTGGTGGGTTTTTTGAGATGGAGTTTCGCTCTTGTTGCCCAGGCTGGAGTGCAGTGGTGCAATCTTGGCTCACTGCAACCTCCACTTCCTGGGTTCAAGTGATTCTTATGCCTCAGCCTCCCAAGTAGCTGGAATTACAGGCATACATCATCATGCTGGCTAACTTTGTAGAGACAGGGTTTCACCATGTTGGTCAGACTGGTCTCAAAATACTGACCTCAGGTTATCTGCCCACCTTGGCCTCCCACAGTGCTAAGATTACAGGTGTGAGCCACTATGCCCAGCCTGGTCTGTTCTTAAGAGATTTTAAGAGGTTATTTTCTCTTACCTGTTGAGTAGTCTTACTAGGAAACAAAGATTCTGTGTCTAATCAAATATTTCTTGTGTTTCATGTTTTCTTTATCATGTTTTTGATTACTTAAGAAAACAGTCTTCTCAATATTGAAAGAGCTACTTTAAAAAAAAAAACCATGCTATTTTCTATATTTTCTTTAAAAATTCTTTTTCATTTAACTTAAATGGATAACTACCATTTCATAGTAAATTGTGATCCTATTTAACCAAGTATTCAAGCCTTTTGTAATTTTTGACAACTTCATCCAAGTCAAAATGTAAATGAAGAATTTTGACCTCAAACTAATTTTGAGATTTCCCAGAGGTTCCCTAGAAAATCTCAAAGGATTTGTTCTCTCACTTGGTGCAAAGAAAGATGTTAAAGGAATTACCTTTATTTGATATGTTAAATTACATAAAGCATTGCCAAATAAGAAGGGATGTTTAACCTTCTTTATATTATATTTGTATGTGTATATGTTATAAGTGTTTCAGAAATCGTATAAAATTCCTAGAAGTTTTCACTGTCCTACTGTCCATGATATGTCCTGGTATAAAGTTATGAGTCATAATTTCCATTATTGACGTGCAATGTTGTATGTCACAGAAACAATCGACTTTCCTTGTGAACTGTGGCATAATGAACTCTCATCAGGTCTTGAACGTCGTCATTTTGTGTCTTTCGTCATTCCAGACAGTTACTGTTTTACTCTGATGCTTTTTTGAAAGCTTTTGCAATCAGCTACAGTCCAAAAATTCTTTGTCTTCAAGGAGATTTTTCTGTAAGACTCTGCCAAGTACCATGATGCCTCTAAGATTGTACCATTAGACTGAACTGAGTAAACATTTCCAGAACTGAGGGAGAAACTGATGGATTTATAAACCTGCTCACCCAAGATCAAGTAGAACAAGAATTAATTCTGTGGGACTCAATGTGGAGACAATTATAATTTTTCTGAATTTTCTTTGAAATATTTTTGGTTCTTTAATGTCTTGGTTTTTAGATTTGAAGGACACTCTGCTTCTGTTTTCTTAGGCTGTGTATAACTTACAACAATTTGGTAATTACACTTGCATAAACAAAAATGAAGCATTTATATTTTTGTCCCACCTGATCACTCTAGAATTTGGATATTATGATTTTCAGGACCATAAAATTATTTGCATTAGTTTAATAAAAAGCGATTCTCCTTGCAACAGGACACAGTTGGAAACATTGGTTATATTACCAAGGCTTTGCCTGGAATGTCATATTTGAGATTGATACATAGAATCAGAAATGACCAGACAGTTTTTAAAAACTGAGGTTGATTTGATGGAGTTGGAGAGACTGACCTGGTACCTGGCTCACAGAGTCCCACATCCCACATGTGAGTGAAGAAGGTCACTTCCTGGCAGATCCAGCAACTCTGGGACAGCTTGAGACCTTCAGAGAGAGAAATTCACCCCAGTCTTTAGGTACCACAAGTGAAGTCTGATGGTGAGTTTTTGGCCACATTTTCTGGCCTCAAAAAGCTTTAAAAAATCTAATCTGAGATTCCTTATAAAAAGCTCCAGCAGAGAAAACTCAATTTATGTGGTCCATTACCATTCTTGCTGCACTTATGCAAATAATCAGACCAAATCTTGTAAGACATGATTTAGTTTTGAGACAAGAATAACATTACTTTGGTTATCTTGATCAAAAGAAGGGGATGACTACAGAGCCGAATTTTGTTTTAATGAAAAATGATAGCACACCCTTGGTATTCTACTTTTTTAGCCTTTGGTAAACGCCACCTTGCTTTCTACTTCGTTATCTACCCGTAAAAGGGACTGGATCCTGAAGTCTTCTGGAGTCCTTCAGTGTCTGGCTAAAACTTCCCAGGGTGACGTTTCCAGTCTTCCTTCTCTCCTCCTGATGAGTGTTACTGAGAATTAAGTCCGACAACTCAGGCCTTCCGTGGGACCATCTGAAAGGCCCCGTGGGCTGAGGTGGACACATCCATGCTCTGCTCCGAGCATAACCATGACTGTGGCTCCAATGGTCATGATGCCACCGTGGACGCACCCCCTGCAGATGAGGAAATCCATCCGTGCCGTGTCATCTGAAGATGCCTCGAGCCCAAAATCCAGAAATCTTCTCAACAGACTGCCCTCTGCATTCGGGAACTGGGTTTCCAACTACACGTCTTTCTCTACTCTTTTTCATAGACATTCCCCTCATTAAATTCCTGACTACTTGTACCATCCAGCAAATGTCCTCCAGCAGATGAAGAATGAACTTACCTTGTTCAAAGGGAAAAAGAACCTCTCTTCTTTCTTGAACAAGAGGAGGGACCAAGAAATCCTCGTTCCTTGACTTGCCTCATGCCAGGCCCCTCCGAATCTTCTCTTTGACCAGGCTTTGACCCTAGCTTCTGTCTTTGTCTGCTTTTTTTCTATTTTTAGTAGGAATCCTGTGAAGTCTTTTGGTGGAAATCCCATCTTGGCCCGTTCACCCTTGATATCTGATGAAATTCCTCCCTTCCATCTTTGATTCCCTTGGCCTGCTTTCAGGCCTGCGCTCCTGCAGGTCAAGTCAGCAGAGAATTCTCCTACCCCTTAGCAGTGTTCATCCGTGGACCTGCCCTGATTCTTGGCTGCAAACCTCCACTCTCCCTGTATTTGGAGTGGAGCCACTCACTGCTACTGTGAGACACCACGGAGTAGCCCACTTTGAGTAAAGTCTGCCTGCCCATCTTTAACAAATGTCACAAATACTTTTTAACTGGTATGAGTTGCTATAAAGGCTTTTGGTAATTGTGTTAGTGTGATTATGACACTGTGGATAATGCTTTTATCTCTTAGCAAGAAAATGTTTTACATGAAGTGGTAAGACATCTGGGACAGTGCTAAAACACTCCCCAAACAAGAAAAGTGTGTGTATGTGGTATGTGTGGTGTGTGCGTGCAGAAAAAACTAAAATATGCACAATAATTGAAACTGAGGGTGAATACATGAGATTCATGATATTCTTCCAAGTTAGACATTTTCCATAATAAAAAGTTAAAATTAGTAACATATGCAACTCTCCTATGGACATCTAGATTTTAAAAGGTCTTCAAAGATAGAAAGACTTTTCAGCTACATTCATTCCCCAAGGCATAAATGGTAAATTTGCATAGGTAGGGAATAAGAGGAACCGGTGGGAGAAGAGGCCACCGTCCACCTGATTCAGTTCTCTTTCTGCTGAGCCATCCCCGTGGGGCCCTACCTGGAGTCATAGTTCTTGGCCGGAGCTCAGTTTCTTGCCAGCAGCACAGCAGGAGGACAAAGCAGAGGGTCCCAGCTCCTTGGCTCACTGCCATGCTCCCTCCAGCTGAAGGAGAAGGACGTTCTGAAGGTCTGCAGTGTCCCACCTTTGGTCTCCAGGACACTATGGAATGTCAGGACCTGTGACATCACAACCAGGAAGAGAGCTGGGTCCTCCTGTTGGGGAGGTCATGTCCAGGGACCAGGAAGGGAACTGGCATCTTCCTTGGGGTGGGCAGAGTTTCTGTCCAGAGTCTGTGATTGGGAAGGAAGGAGGAGGCTGGTGGGGGTCTAAAGGTAACAGAGATCCTCTCCACTCTCTCTGATTGCCTGTTCTGGTGACTTCCTCTGTCCCAAGCACCCTGAGGACTGAAGGGGTAGCTACTAATCAGTACTTAATGGGCCAGTGGCCAAAAGTCAACAAAATCTGCTTCCATGGAAAGAGGTGTATTTGAAGGATGCTGGAGAGGTCATTGAATTATAGAACAAGTGCCAGAACCAGCATATCCGGAGGGTCTAATCACCTCTTAAAGGACCCCTGAAGAACAGAGGCCAATGGCTCCATGTCCCACCGGCTCTCCCCTACCCTCAAAGTTCTGGGGTCATGAGGAACAAGGGACAGTTGACTCCAGGGTTCAGCCTCCCTTCCCCCACGCCTTCTTTCTCAGCATCAGCCCCAATCTCTCCCTGGCAGTGAGACTTTCATCACAAGAGGAGAACATGGCTGCATTCCCATGCTATCATTCTCCCAACTAAATATCCTAGAGTTTCTAGAGCTTTCTCCATCAGTGCAGTGACACAACCCCAAAGGAGTCATACTGACTGGCTCCTCTGGATCCCATCTCACCCCTGCACCGACGCCTACATCCGGGGCTTAGAGTGGAGCAGCTGGTCTAGACTGGGCCATGGGTGGGGTCCCAGGTAGATACCCCTCCGATCCCAGCTCTGTGGCAGAGAGGGCTTGTGTGTCTCTCTGTTCTCACACTGCTATAAAGAACTCCCCTGGGACTGGGTAATTTATAAAGAAAAGAGGTTTAACTGACTCACAGTCTCGCCTGGCTGGGGAGGCCTCCAAAATCTTACAATTATGATGGAAGGGGAAGCAGGCACTTTCTTCACAAGATGGCAGGAGAGAGAGAGAGTTCATGAAGGAGGAACTCTCAAACACTTATAAAACCATCAGCTTTTGTGAGAACGCATCATGAGAACAGCACGTGGGAATCCACTCCCATGATCCGATCACCACCCACCACCTCAGCACATGGGATTATGAGGATTATGATTCAAGATGACGTTTGGGTGAAGACACAGAGCCAAGCTGTATCAGCTGGTCCTGGATGCACACACTAACAAGGGCCTTGAGGCCTGCTCGGGACCCCAAGTCTGGCTGGCCCACCGGGGATCTCTGGCTCTTTCATCTTTTTATTGCTGGTCTGGGGACCCACGGCACACTTTTGTTCAGGTTTTCCTCTTGGCAGCTCGAGTGGTAGCCATTCTACCTTGAGGCATGGGGAGGATATTTCAGATTTTCAGCATGTCCATAAAGGCACAAGCATGGCTGACATTTGCAGAAACCCTGTGGGATCCAAGTCCCACTCTGAGTTACTGAATGGTCCAAATGAGACGCTCGCCTATATAACCCAGGCTCTTGCTATTCAAAGTGTCATCCTGGGGCCATTTGGGTCTAAGAGGCTGACTTGTTTGGTGCAAGAAAAGGCTTGTTGCCTCGGGTTACTCTCCTTTCTGCTGTGACCAAGCCCAGGCTGCCTGCTAGAGGCAGACAGACCACATGGAGGGAGGCCTCAGCCATCCCAAGCCCAAGCCAGAGCTCCCATGACAGCAGAACCCTGTACCACTGCCTGTCAAACAACACCCACTGCACCAAGGGAGGACATCTGGCTACGGCAGGCCAGGGACTTTGACCTCCAGGTGGAGGACGAGGAATTTGATCAGGGCTGGGGATCATGCCTCATTGAGAAGAGGGGTCAAAGGAGCCTGGATGGTTTGGTCGAGGAAGAGTCATTGTCAAGGCTGCCTGAAGTCGGTGACTTAAAACAGCCCACATGTGGCAGGGTGTGCTGCTCAGGCCTGTAATCCCAGCACTTCGGAAGGCCAAGGCGGGCGGATCGTGAACTCAGCAGTTTGAGACCAGCCTGACCAACATGGTGAAACCCTGTCTCTACTAAAAATACAAAAATTAGCTGGGTGTGCTGGCGCATGCCTGTAATCCCAGCCACTTGGGAGGCTGAGTCAGGAGAATCGCTTGAGCCGGGGAGTCAGAGATTGCAGTGAGCTGAGATGGTGCCACTGCACTCCAGCCTGGGAAACAAGAAGCAAATTCTGTCTAAAAAAAAAAGAAAAAAAATCAGCCCACATGTGATTGCTCACAACCTCTTTGGTTGGCCCTGGTGGCTGCTGGCCCAGTGTGGCTCACGGACATGCCTGGGGCCTCAGCTAGGATGTTGGGGCTTGGGATGGCTGAGGCCTCCCTCCATGTGGTCTCTCTGCCTCTAGCAGGCAGCCTGGGCTTGGTCACAGCAGAAAGGAGAGTAAGCCTCAATGCAACAAGCCTTTTCTTACACCAAACAAGTCAGACTAAACCCAGATGCAGGGGGGAGGAACATATTTGAGCACGGAAATGTGGTGGTCAGACTAGCTTAGTTCATAGTGCTCTGGCCTCTTGTTTCATAGATTTGTTTAGCTACTTGGAAAGAAGAGGTCAGAGTGTCTGATATGTTTTTAATCAGTTGCTTTATGAGATTCTAGTTTGAAGAATCTCTCACCAACCCTTGGGAGGTTGATGGCAAATTTATTTTTCCTATCCTTTGCTGTCTTTTAGCAACAATTTTACACATAATTCCCTTTGCATTTGTATTTGCATGCAACATTAAAACCAGAAGGGAATTTAACAAATTAATCTATTTATGCCAGTTTCTTTGAATGGAGACTTTAATTCATTTGCATAACTGTCATAGCAGCGGCATGTGACTCCTGGAAGTTCTTTTCTCCATGGTTGCATTTCAGTTGAGAGATTGTCTCTGTCATGTGCCAACAGAGATTTGTTCCCTGAATCTTCCAGGGGAAAGAGGAAGGAACTCTTTATGGCTCTTTTTAAATAAACAGGCCTTGATTATTATTTTAATGTTTGGAAATATAAAAATTTTATAAATTAAAAGAAAAATGCAAGGCCAGTTCCAGTGGCTTACACCTGTTATCCTAGCACTTTGGGGGGCCAAGGTGGGTAGATCACTTGAGTCTAGAAGTTTGAGACCAGCCTGGGCAACACAGCAAAACCTCATCTCTACAAAGAATACAAAAATTAGCCAGGCATGGTGGCAAATGTCTGTAGTCTCAGCTACTCGGAAGGCTGAGGCAGGAGGATCACCTGACCTTGGGGAGGCAGAGGCTGTAGTGAGCTGTGATTGTGCCACTGCACTCCAGCCCGGGCAACAGAATGAGATCCCATCTCAGGGAAAAAAAAAAAAAAAAAGCCAGGCATGGTGGCTCATGCCTGTAATCCCAGCACTCTGGGAGGCTGAGGTGGGTGGAGCACCTGAGGGCAGGAGTTCTAGACCAGCCTGACCAACATGGTGAAACCCTGTCTCTACTAAAAATACAAAAACTAACTTGAGCTGTGATTGTACCACTGCACTGCAGCCAGGGCAACAGAGTGAGACCCCATCTCAGAAAAAAATACCAAAACAAGAAAACGCAAACATTCTTAGTTGCATTGTCCAAAATTAACACTGTTAGCAACTTAGAATATTTGCTTTTGATGTTTTTAATTCTTGAAAAATCATGTTTTTGTTTTTATGAAGTGTAATAATATGTACTCACTATAGAGAATTTAAGCAATGAAACTATAAAGAGGTGAAAATTTAAAAATGGCCCCAGTTCCCCCACAGCCAAGACCTCCATGAATATCAGGTTAACATCGAGGAAGACACCTCTTCGTTTGTGTTTACGTACACAGGCTGGTGGGATGGCTGGGTAGACATGGTGTGAGGAACTCTCCTGTGGGTGCAGACACCTGCGCAGTGGACGGATATAAGGTAATAAAGGTGGGAACGCACCACCTCGCTCCTGCAACAAAAATAGTTCATCAAATTGAGTCAGATTTAATGGAGGGAAAAAAGCCTGAAGCACAACTGAGGGAATTGAAGAACATCCAGTAGATCCTCACTGTGAGTCGTTGCTCAGAGCTCTGTCTAAGGAGAGGAGGGGACACTGGGAAAAAGTGAGGTATTTGGAGTCAATGCATTTTTAAAACATGTTCGAGTGTCACTTTTACACAGGAACAGCCAACTGCCTGATCTGAAAGAGGAGAGCGACTTTATTCCCCGCTTTCTCTCACTTCCCTCCTGCCTATTGTGTGCCTGCTTTCTTTTGGTTCAGTGTTAATCGGCCATGAACTTTTTATTTCCTCTAAGAGCTCAGGGGTGTTCCATCCCAGGACTTCTTCAGACCTGAGTACTTAGGGCGTTGGCTTTAGAACCTAACAATTACTAGGTGGGGAGCAATATTCACAGGCCAGCCCTCCTTCCCTAAGAGTTGTTACAGTCTTGCCATTATAGATCCTGAGTGCTGTGTGGAGCACTCTGTGGGTCACCTGAGATGGACCCCCACTTGCAGACAATCTGCTTTGGCTGTGTGAAGTATTCTTTTTTTATCTTGAAATTAAGCAGCTTAATTAGGATTTACCTTGGTGTTTCTGTTGTCTGTTAAACTTCCCGGGAAGAAGGCATATCCTTTTGATCTGCAGACCCAATCTTGATTCACTTCAGGCACTTTTTAATCTCGTGTTTTTGAAAACGTCATCAGGTCCATCTCGCTAGTTCTCTACCTGGGGCACCTGTTTCCTTACACTGGACTTTCTTTATCTGTCTTCCTTAGTCATTCACAGTTCCTTACTTGCTGTAAGCTTCCTGTCTTTTTTTTTTTTTTTTTTTTAATCTGTATTCACTGTGTTTTTATCTGTGGTAATAATTTATAGAAGTATTTATTTTGTTTCTTGCTGTTTCTGTTATCATATCATTGCTGTTTATAACCGTTTAGG